CGACCACCCAGGTATGCCTCCTGGAATGAGGTTTACCTGGGTGGTCGACAAATGCCTTTGATGTCGACACCCGCGTGTCCAGACTACCGCGCTGAGCAGACAAACAGCTGATCGGCTCAGCACGGCAGCCATGTAAATTTAAATGAAGCGGCGATTATTTAAATCGCCGCTTCATTTTCCTATGCCTGGTAGCCTCATCTACATGCCTCTGGCGACAGAGGCATGTAGTCTAGACGTAGCCCTAAAGTATTAGCAGATGGTCCAGATTCTTCACAAACACTAATCCTTCCATGGCCCTTGAGTTATCAAGGCCAATGACTCACTGAACCTTTCAGGTTTTTAAAGGGATATAAATATGTAATGGGTTAACTCAAATCTCTCCAATTATATTCTAAGTGACCATTTAAAATAATATCCCAGGTATCAATTAGACTTCTTGACATTCAGAAGACAAATGTATCTTACCTAATTTCAGTTATTGTGGCTGTATAAACTGCTCCAAATTCCAACTGATGCTCTTGCTGCACGGGGAAAAAACGTTGTCAGACACAGGTTCGTAAAATAAAGAAATTCAAAGCAAATAATGGAAATCTGTCCTTACATCATCTTTGCAGATTTCCTTAATAAACTCTTGTGCTTCATGCATAGCATTAGGTGTTGGGGCAAATACAGAAAATGTCTCTTCATCCACCTGACTCACTGTTACCCCTTAAAAATGAAAATGTACACGGAATTAAACACTGATGACAATCATGAAATAAAAATGTCCTCTACAACTAAACCAGTAAAGAGGAAATTCATACTACAGCAGACCTATGTTAAAGACTTAATGTGAGCACATAATCCTGTGCAAGCCTACTGTTTTATAGTGAAATTTACCACAAAACTTCATTTATATCAAAACTGTAAACCAAGGTTGGGCAAAATGTGGCCCCAGCAAAAATTTCTCAGCTCTCATTGACCAGTGTCTGGAGCTGAGAAATTTTGCTGGGGGCAGGGGCAGAGTGAAGCCTGCCTTCCCCTTTCTCACCCCTCCATCCCTCTCCTCCCATCCCCCCATGCCTGGAGCAGAGCCATGTGAAGCAACCAGCCTACCATCCTGGGATTTCAGCAGACAAGCAGAGAGCCTGCCTCAGGTTCCTGCAGGACTGCTAGCTGGGAGCTGCCTAAGTAACCATCTTCCAGGCAGAGCCTGCTTCTGGCACTCCTCCTCCTCTCCCCCCCAACCACCTGTCCCAAGCCACCATTCCCTCCTGCCCCAGGTCACCACCCAAATCCTCTATAAACCTTCCCCCTACCTCCTCCAGGTCACAACTGCCTCCCAGATCCTGAACCCCTTGGCCCAGGCCAAAATCCTCTCCTGGACCCATACTCCCCCTCTCCAACTCTGTACCTCATTCTCCTGCCCCAGGTCACCACCCAAACCCTCTGCAGCCCATCAGCCCTCTAACCTCCTAACACTCCTGCCCTGACTCTTGCACCCCCCACTTCCTGCCCTCTAATTGTCAACAACATGATATCCCATAAAGTAAAGGTTTCACATGCACCAAAGAGAGCTAATATCACATTTATACAATAAAATAAATAAATAAATAAATAGCCATTATAGTAATGACACTCTCTTACCAGTTTCAGCCTGTAGTTTTTTTAAGTTATAGCCGCCTGGCCCAACAAACCTTACTCTTTTGGAGATAGGCACCTGAACAGTTTCTGAAAGAGAACATGTAAGTCACAGTCTGAAATGCAGCATTAAGAAATATCACAAGAATTTATAAGATCAAGTGATACTCATTTAGGTTTTTAATTTTAGTGACCTGCTTTGTAAAGATCTGTTAAATATGCTTCTCTCTCAATGACCGAATGAAGTTTAACTACAAAGAAGTTCAGAACCTGGATCACTATAAATATTTGATCAGGAATTCTGGCAGATATAAAACAAAAGCCAGCACTCAGATACATGTACATAACTTACACAGATTTAGTGAGAGTGAAACAGATAGAATTGGTAGTTGAAAGTTAAAATGAGGCAATATTTTTCCCACCCTCAATACAACAATTGAAATATTTTAATTTAATCAAATTTCACAAATCCTGGTGGGGGAGAGTATAGGAAACACTAAGGGTATGTCTAGACTACAAGTCTCTTTCGAAAGAGAGCATCTAGACTGCAACCACTTCTTTCAAAAAAGCAAGCCGCTTTTTCGAAAGAGAGCACCCAGGCACCCCCCTCAGCCAACTAAAAGAAAATCACAACCACCTGCACTCGTAGCTAAAGACAAAATATTTTAAACAGAAGTTTATTTCAAATCTCTCATCTTAAAACAAGTGATACACAATTATATTATACTCAATATTACCTACAACTGGTCCATTTTCTTTTCTGTTTGGTCTGGGTTTTGCAATTGTTTTGTTCATAATTTGCAAGATCTCTCTCTTTGCAACTGTGAGGAAAAAAGACAGTACTACGTTTAAAGTGAAAATAAACACTATATTTGCTTTTAAATTTGAGGTAGGATACAAGGAGGCTACCCAAACTAATGTGAGTATTTAGCATGACAAATATAGTATTTATCACTGACGTCACATACATTAGAGATAAAAATGACAAGTTGTCCTGTGGCATCTTAGAGACTAACATACATATATAGTATCACGAGCTTTCGTGGGAAATCATGTGACTATATATTTTTGTTAGTCTCTAAAGTGCTATGGCATTTCAAAATCATGCCCACAGTATGGTTGAAACTGCAAATATTTAGCAAGAACTGTTGTTATAACTATGCAGTCTACAGAAGTAGCTCACTGATGTGCATTTACATCTGTGATGCACAAAAGAACCAAAAATTGCTTCACATACCAACTATAAATCCCTCAATGCAAAGGACTGTGCACTTAAGTCATAGGATGATTTTCCCCCCCATTTTGTGACTGGTGCATTTTAAAATGTGTGAACAGGGAAGCTGGTGACAGAAGGGTGCTAATACAGCTGGGAAAGGCTGATGCTCCTCCAAGGGGACTGCCTAAGTGCTGCTGAGGCAGACAGGATTACTCCCTTTCCTCTGCTTTTGGCTCTTCCTGATCAATGCTCTGCTCCAGGGTAGGGGCTGGCTACCTAGTGGCTAAGTGGAGCAGAAGTGTTGCTGTGTGACTGAATGAAGGACAGAGGCAGCAATAGTGTGGGGGGAGGGGTAGAAGATGTGAGGCATGGAGAGGGCAGAGTTCCACTCCTTCCTTTTTCCTCTCTGGTCCTAATGGCTATACAGAACTGAGACCATTGACAAATAAAACTTACTTTGTCTTCAGTGCACATCAACTTTACATAAAAGCATTAACTTGTGTGTTTCATCTTCAAAAGTCCCATGTACATTTGGTCACCTTTTACTATTTATATATTTATTTATTCAGATTCCCAAAACAGTAAATATACATTATGAAATCTACTTGATCCATATATAAAACTGTCTGTCCATTAAAATGATTTCCTATACCTTGTTTTGAACAATACTAATGTTTGGAGTGGGATCTGCCTTTTTCCAAAAATGAACCATTACATACCTACTTGTTCATAGTAGATGTTAACAATAGGTCCTCCCTAAAAATCAATTATCTTCTTCAATCTAACAGAATGACTATGAGTGTAGCCTGATTTTAAATTACCTGGAAAATTCTATTTATTATTTTCCTTCAAAATATTATTTCAGAACATTCCCGTCATAAAGGTTCATCCATATGCTCTCCGGTGTTTATTACTTCAATTTTCCTTACCTTAAATGAAGTAAGGTATTCTGTAACCAATTTCCTTAGCATTTACACAAATTGATGAAGTTTGGTCGTTTATTCAAATATCTTCTATTGATCCAAAAGTGGTATATTTTTTCATATCATTTCCCCCTTTAACTCTAACGGTAGCCTTCTAAATTAATATGGAAGAATTTGCTGCATCATATTGTGATGATATTTCAGTTAGCCTTTCCCATAGCATTAGAATTTCTATCCTTAATTGACTCCTAAAACTTGGGTTTACTACATTTTATATAATTCTTTAGTTGCAAGTAAGCTAAAACTGGAATATCAATATTCTATCTTTCAGAGTGGGTCCATAGAGTTTTTTTATTTATTCATGGGAACTTATTATTCCACACAATTTTTATTTGAAATTCCTTTAGCATTCTTTTTGGTATATAGATGGCAGTGTCTGAAATTGAATGGTTGCCAAAAACCTCATTTTTACCACAGATATATGGCCAATCCAAGACATTTGTTTTCTGATCCATAAGTCATTTTTCAGTTTTTAAATAAAGGGAGGAAAGTTATTTTCATATAGTCAACTGAGTAGTAAAAATATTGATTCCTAAATTATGTTTAACTAAACTCAAACATAGCTTGCACCTATTTAATCATATATCTTCCAGCCCAACATTTAATATTTCAAATTCAGTATTAATTTAATAGTCTGATATATCATTGGATCTTTTTCACAATATATGATTTATATAGTGATGGACTGATAACCATTAGCATTCTATTGTCTGCACGCAGTGCACATTTACATTGTTTTATTAATTGGGGCCTCTGTGAGTGAGTAACAAACATGTTCCCTAGCTCCTGGCAGGATTTTGAATTTATAAGAGAGCTGGGAACTGCTAGACATTCTGGAGACAGTATGCAAGTTAAGAGTATTTAACTCTTTTTTTATACACAAGCACGTACAGAAGTTAATTCTTAGCAATTCAGAGCACACTAATCTTTCAGATGGCACAAGTTTTGTATACATGAAAATATTGAAAAGTTAGGAATTACTCTCTTAAAATTGATGAAGTGGGTCTTTGCCCACAAAAGCTTATGCTCCAATACATCTGCTAGTCTATAAGGTGCCACATGACTCCTTGTCACTTTTGCAGATCCAGACTAACACGGCTACCCCTCTGATATTTTTCTCTTAAAATTTGTACCACACACAAATATGGACTTACCTGTGGCTTGCTGGATGGTTTCCATTACAATTTTTAGTGGTATCCCTGGTAGTTTTATATCAGCCTTAGGTGGAAAAAGAGTTAAATGACATCAGCATGTTTGAAAGGGCTATTGTCCAGTCATATTTTCTTATTTCATTTTAAGGGGATTTAATAAATTAAAATACCTGCAAAGCAGTTATTCCTTTATTAGTACCAGCCATTTTGAAGTCCATATCACCATTGTAATCTTCAATTCCCTACAGGGTACATGGAAACACATACTTTGAACAAGCCAGATTAAATCTATATTTGATACTGCAGTAAAAGGCCATGTCCTTGGTCACATCCTCATACCTATGAGCAGGGATCGACAAATTGCTGTTTCTACTTTCCTGTGGCGAGTAGATTTCAGCCGGTTGCCCCATTTGCCAGCAGTGCGTGCATGCACAATGCGGGTCTTGCACATGCGCAGTGCAGGGCTGGCGAGTAGATTTCACCGCCTTTTGTCAAGCCCTGCTTATGAGTCACAGTTTTTTGTTTGCTAGATTCAAAGTTGCGTCTTTTAAGATTTCAATGCCTTTCTTTAGTGCCATGTCACTATTCTTTATTAACTCTGGACATTTTCCCCTTGCAGTCTATTAGTTATTGCCGGCTATATATTTTTATAACAGAATAGTTTTGTTATTCATCATGAAAGGTTACTTCAGGAGGAACAAGTTGTACTCTCTCAGAAAAACTGATATCAAATTATTTTAGTGGAAGAAAAGATGGAAGCCTGATTCAAAATACACTAGTTGTCAGTCAATAAATGGGGTGGTCATGTCTACATTTACAAGCTTACCAAAGTTGCAGTTATACCAATAAAGCTGTGCCACTGCAAAGATTGATCATGACAGAAGAAAGCTCTACTGCGGACATAATAAAATCAGCTCAATGTGCGCTTGTAGCTGTGTCAACAGGGGACCGTCTCCCGTCAACTCAGTGCTGTGCACATGAGCGCTTATGCCAGCAAAACTTATATCACTCACAGGTGAGATTTTTTTTAAATCCTCGAGTGACAAAAGTTTTGTCAACATAAGTCTAGAGTAGGTATGGCCTAAGTCATGCCTCTTCTTTCCTCAAATGGAAGAGAAAGAACGCAATAGAAGTGAAGAAGTTAACTGAGCTTGAAGGAAAAGGGGCAGACAGTAATACATAAAAAGATATGGTTAACAGATATCCTTAAAGAGATCTTTCCCCAAAAGGGGGAAAGTAAAACAAAATACATCCATAACTATATACAGGCAGTCCCCGGGTTACGTACAAGATAGGGACTGTAGGTTTGTTCTTAAGTTGAATCTATATGTAAGTCGGAACTGGCGTCCAGATTCAGCCGCTGCTGAAACTGACCGCCAGTT